CTGTCATTCAACCGTCTTTAACCTGATTGTGAAATTGTTATGTACATGTATCCAATCCAATGAATAGTTTGAAAAAACAACAACATGTTACCAATATAGCCGATCGCAAATCAAATCTCAATATACTATATGTATCAAAATTCATCAAAAACCGACATAGCATGTCCAAGATACACCATTATCAACAACATAATGTAATGAACAGAAAATGAATGAACGATGCGCGTGCGTGATGTCACAATAAAACATCCTTAATCGTGATAAAAGTATAGTTCAATCTTGTGTTTGAATCTCTGCCACGGTAGTACATGTCCTAAAAAACATTATTTCTGTGTCTTCTTTCTTTGCGTTTTTCATAGATTAGTTTACCACTTATTATACTTCCTGATAATATTAGATTTCCACCACAACCAGAAATTACACATTGTAGCTGTATGTAATGTCGAACATCAATCCTGGGAAATGAGAAAACAAAATTAACAAATTATTCTAAAGATAAATGCCAATCGCTGAGAATTAAACCACCGAGAATTGATAAACTATGTATTTGTGATATATTGTTGAGTGTATTCTGCATTTTAAATGTTTAATAAAGGTGGTTATTGTTTTAATATATGTGATATGCAGAATAATATATGAAGTAAGGTCCGTTCTAAACGACTTCCTAGTGACGAAGTGTATGTTTCTACTTACTAGCTGCCTTTAATTTTAATGGTCACAAGCCACTGCACTTTTTGTTATTTAATTATAACTATGAACAGTTCTTATACATTATTTTTTTTATAGTAAGTGAATATACATATACTATTTATAACATATAAATTGTGTCTTTTAGTAAATATAATTGAAATGTGTTTACAAACACAACATGGAAGCATACATTTATTTTACACATACCTCCAAGATAAGTTGTTTTAACCTAATATATTTCCAGTACCAAGGAATAACACAAACCACCCAAAGGATTTTGGTAAATAATCGACACCCACGTCTTGTTTCACACATACGGTAGCGAGAGCAAAGTATGTACCACTACAAAATCCAAACAACACAGTTCCTGCCACTATTGTGCTGAACACATAAACTGACATAGAAGAGAAATATTTTAAATCTACAATCAATCCATGTTTAAATATTCCAACAAGATAACTAATACCGATCATTGACATCAGTATTGATGCATTCATTTTCGGAATACCCATAGTAACGGCATTGTTGACATAATGGGCAAGAGTTAATAGATGTGCAATCCCCATGAAAAACACTGATATGCACAGAACACAAAAAGTTGAGTTTTGGCAGAAGAGGTTCATGCCGAACATATTGTAAATTCGTGATTGCTTCATGCAAGTTTCGGAATAGTGATTGGTAAATGTTTTTGTTGTGAACACATGTTGTCCGCCTCGATATGTACGTCTCCAGTAAAGCCTTCATTTTTAGGACCCATGTTGTCAACCTTTGGTGGTGATCTCATCAACATTGGAAACACAACAATATTCATGTGAATCGCGGATAATATTATGAGTGCGCCTCTCCAGCCATATTCTTCTTTACAAATTAATATATTGGTGCAAAAACAATCATCCCGAGAGTAACTCCAGCATAACCTATCCCGTTATGCACCAAGTGCATGTCGATTCTGAATATGCTGACCAATATTCACAATACTGCCAAGACCTGAAATCAGACAAATATCAGCACACGAAATATGTATATTTTTAGATGTTGTACTACTGTACTGTGGATTTATATTGTTAAACTTTATCTTGTGAAAATGTACATTTAAATTCCCTTTTAAATGTACAATTATTTGTTAGTGTTTTGTCAAAGAATATAATTTACATACAAGCTGATTGTAATTTGTTTTTTGATTTGTCCTGAGTTACATATAATCGTTGACGAAACTTCCAAATCAATTTTGAGAGTAAATTGTTTAATTTTATGTACATAATAACAATACATTTACTTAACTTGTGTTATTTAAATGTATGTCAGCATCCTTTACTCCATGTTTTTTTTTTCATATTATCAAAACCCTGCAAATAGAAGTGTACATTGAATTATGGGAAGAAACGGTGTACATTGCCGTGTAATGACGGTCATAAAGGTGATTGACATGTCATACTTGTCTACAACTCTGGAAGGACAATTGGAATTTACCAGGTGTGCTCGAGATTTACATAACAAAGGATGTTTACAGCTCTGGAAGGACAAGTGTAATCTACCATAACAAAGGATGTTTACTATCTACTGCCTTGCGTACAGCTGCTAGCAAGTCCACATTCAGATTGACTCATGTGGAAACCCAGGTAGTGTACCTGAATCTGGGCCATTTGTTCCTATGAATAAGCTAGACTGAGAACAGTTGTGGTCCACTATGTCAACTGAGTACTGTGTGTTGCTGCTGC